ATAATACATAACACTGTACTATAATAATAAAATATTTATAACAACAGGATCTGTCTTTTAAACAGAACCTCCTTGACATGTTTCAAGGAGGTTCTGTTTATAAGACAGGTCTGGGTGGCAGGCCTCAGACTGATGAAGTCCTTTGGATGAGAGAAGAAACGTTTCAACGCAAAGAAACCATCCAGAGGACCTGACTTGACTTTGTTGTATTTATTACTTGGATAATTGAACTTTGATATTTAGAAACTCAGGATTTATTTTCTGTTTTTAACTACAACTGAGCAGAAGAATGGATCCTCAGCGGCTCCGCGCCTTCTTGTTCTACAGGCGGGAAACAGAAACATCACGTTTTAAATATTTAAACTCTGTCATTTGTATATTTATTCAGTGTAATTTGTGTATTTAATCAGTGTAATTTGTGTATTTAATCAGTGTAATTTGTGTATTTAATCAGTGTAATTTGTGTATTTAATCAGTGTAATTTGTGTATTTAATCAGTGTAATTTGTGTATTTAATCAGTGTGTGTATTTAATCAGTGTAATTTGTGTAATTTGTGTATTTAATCAGTGTGTGTATTTAATCAGTGTAATTTGTGTATTTAATCAGTGTAGTTTGTGTAGTTTGTGTATTTAATCAGTCTAGTTTGTGTATTTAATTAATCTAGTTTGTGTAGCTTGTATATTTAATCAGTGTGGTTTGTGTAGTTTGGGTATGTAATCTGTGTAGTTTGTGTAATTTATGTATTTAATCAGTCTAGTTTGTGTAGTTTTTATATTTAATCAGTGTAGTTTGTGTATTTAATCTGTGTAGTTTGTGTAGTTTATGTATTTAATCAGTCTAGTTTATGTATTTAATCAATCTAGTTTGTGTAGTTTGTATATTTAATCAGTGTGGTTTGTGTAGTTTGTGTATTTAATCAATCTAGTTTGTGTAGTTTGTATATTTAATCAGTGTAGTTTGTGTATTTAATCAGTGTAGTTTGTGTAGTTTGTGTATTTAATCTGTGTAG